ACATGATTTCAATTCTATAGACAAGTTTGAATGGATTTTCAGTTTCTACAAGCGTGATGATTTCGGTTTCTCTATGTTATGTGAATTCTGATATTTTGTTTCTTTGAGTAGCTAACTTTGAAGCATGTATTGGAATTAAATTGTTGTAGAACATAGGTCAATTGCCATATTGAATGTGTTCTTGTTTGCAACGAATAATTGGGTTAAGAACTAGTTATGAGAAATCGATTCTTGAATTCCTAATAACAAATGCCATGTTTTAGGGTTTTTGTGACACTCATATTCTCTTTGATCTTAATGGATTCTTGATTGTTAATTTGAGTAAATGCCATACTAGATTTCAATTAAGAATACACGTATTGATGTAAATGCCATACACTTTACATGCACTTAAGATTGAATCATACAACTCGAGTCAAATGCCATGATCTTGTTGTGAGTGTTGCCATCATATGCTTGCTAGAAATTGATTATCTATTGTTGTTTATGGATTGATTGATTGGTTAGAGGTGGATAGTGAGTCCTAGCTATTGTTCTTGATTGATTATAAACAAATTTATCTTAAACTCTAATTTAAATTCTGTTTTGTTTTGTTTTCCTTATTTTGTTTTATTCACAAAATCAAATCAAAACCCCCCTTGGTGTTGGCGTGTGTGTGGAAGTCCTTGTGTTTTTGTTGCGTGACATTGATAAACATCTCTTTAGATCACAATCTCTGTGGGATCGACCCTTTCTTGCTTACTATACTATCATTTGATTTGTGCACTTGCAAGGTTTTAAATATTGTTGTTAAAAATTACCAACACTCACTAGAGAAGGGCTGGAATTTATGATGCTATGCTTATGTCCAAGCAGTCGATAAACAGAGATGAGAATCTTCTGGCCGCTGCTTTGTGCTTTTGGAATTCTGCCAGCAATACTTTCGACTTCCGCCTGGGCCCAATGACTCAAACTCTGTTGGATATGGCTCAAATTTTTGGGTTCCGACCCCATGGAAGACCTATGGATGCAGTTGGTGACTATCATAGGAGGAAGAACCAAGAAAAACTGTCCAAGACATTCACTATCTCTCCAGCCACAATCAACCAGAACTGCTCCTTCTCTAACTATTTGAGGAAGTTCAGTGCTGAGAAGGACAAGGATCAGCAACATATGTTGTTCCTTCTGTACTGGCTAAATCGATTCGTTTTCCCAAATCGTTCCTCAGCAATTCTGCTTGAATACATGCGTTGGGCAGAAGCACTGCACAACCATACTGATGTAGGACTTGGACCTACTATTCTGGCTCATCTGTTCAAGAATCAGCATACGGCCACGCTAGAAAATCCTCTGAACTTGTCTGCTCTTGGCGCATTTTGGATTATCCAGATCTGGCTGCAGGTTTATTTCCTAGAATTGAGGTTTTCAGACATAGTTTTGCCTAAAGATCAGGTTCTGGCTCAGTCATTGATGTTGGCAGAAGTGCCTAAGCGGTCGATTGAAGAATACTTGATGTTTTTCAGGTACTGTACCAAGAGGTCTGCTGCTTAGTGGCAAGTGGTGATTAGGATGACTTATCCTTGGTTCCAGCTTAGATACAGGTTTTTTGAGAAAGAACTTGAAGAAGAAGAAGCCAGGATCGAGTTCAGGAAGAAATTCCTGAGTGACACTACCTAGGGATTTGCCCTTTGGAGGTGGGAAGCCTCCGAATTATCATTTGGGGGCAGAAGTCTATCATCCTAACTTCTGCGCAAGGCAACTGGGCTGCCCTCAGCTTATTCCACTCAAATCCTATAGAAGCTGTAATTGTTGCCCCTCGTTCTACGGCCTTATCTGCTGGACCATTTGAACTGGGGGTTCGGCCATTGCGGCCGAGCCGGGCAGCACTGATAAGCGCCGTGAGTTTGACCAGGGTGCGTGTGTGCTGTCCTCGGAATAGCCAAACCATATTGAAGGTGAGAGTCCAGCGAAAACAACGACGCCTGTAACGGTGAAACGGTCGGATTGCTCTGACCGTACTGCTATGACGAGGCGGTGGTCGTGTTGCTTGGGCCAGGATGGGTCTGGACGGCCATGGTGTGAACTGGACCGAGTTGCTGGACCGCGAAATAGGAGAGGCTGCTTTGCCCCAGTGACACGGCCAAAGCATGGAGTGGGCCGTGCGCTGCTTCTGCTGGGTAGGCCGGTCCGGGATTTACCCATGTTGGCTGGGATTGCCCCCAGCTATTTGTCGGCGGCTGGGAATGCTGGCCGTAGCCTGACGCTTGAGTGCCGCCAGAGGCACCAAGGTTACTGCTTTCGCCGTAGGGTTAAAACCTCTCGTGCTCTTGGCTTCTTTGTCCGGGTCTGGGAGGCATCGCGGACGACGTTACCAGCATCTTCTCCTGGAAGAGCATCCGTAGCTCTGTTGAGAGCCTGTCCATTGCAGCCATAAAGGATGTCTCTATCCTGTAGGCCTGCTTAGGCATCAGATCCTCTACTACTGCTTGCTCTTCCATGGACTCGGCCGTACGATCCATCGTTATTGGAATGCTGGCCGAGCTTCTGACCGCGTATTCGGTCTCGGTGATAGTGATTGGTGAGGTGGACTCAGGAGCCTCGGAAGCCATTTCGACTGTTTTGTTTTTGAGCTTTGCCTGTGCCCTAGTTTCCACCATGAGTTTTTTACAAGTGTCCCACCGGGCGTGCCAAAAGTGTTGGCTGGTGCTCCGGGCCGAGGGGATATGCGTTAATACGCGACGTCCTTCTTTTGGATGCGGTGCGGTTGTGCACGGGTATGCCAGCACGGTTTACCGTGCGTCGAGATGGTGATGAGGTTTAGGTAGAAGATGGTTAAATGATGTGCCTGTTTTGAGTTCGACTTCTAATCAAACGATTGTGGCCGAGAGAGGAACTGATCTCGGCCGTCAAGTTCACGGCCTGAGCTACAAGGTCGTTTAGTGGTGGTGTTGGTGGCGGGTTTTAGGCGGTGCTCCGACGCGTTGCTCAAAGAGCGACGGTCGTTTGATATATGGGGTGAATAAGATGACAACATATATGGTGCTCCGGTGCCTTGAAAATCAAGGGTCGTATGATATATTGATGAATGGATTTTCCTTAAAATCTACCACTACTCCTAGGAAAGCATGTAAAGGTATTGAAAGTGCATTACAGGAAAATATAATTTGCTCTGTGGGAGGCTTTTGGTTTGGTATTTGAACCCTTTGAATGTGGTCTTGAGCTTAGTATTTATAGGGGGAGTCCTGGAGGGACAATCGAGGCTGAAAATATCTGCGTGGTGGAGTCTGACCGGGCAAGTAGGTAGTGAAATCGGCATTTGGGATCGTGAAGCATGATGGTGTGACCCCCATAAATCCTGGTAAATCTCGGCCACCGCCTTGATCGTTGGTTCTGCCCCCTTGGCCGTGGGAACGCATTTAATACCCTGGTCTGGTGGTTGGTGATCTGACCTCACGTTGTAAGAATACTTGGGAGAATGTTTGCGTCTAACCACTCTGATTTTCGTCACCAAATCCTGACTACAGTCACTTCCTTCGTGCATTAAATGCTTCTTGCGACTAGTGGGTTTGCTGCGATAGTCAGAGGCATTACTTCATAAAGGTATTGAAATTGCATTACAGGAAAATATAATTTGCTCTGTGGGAGGCTTTTGGTTTGGTGTTTGAACCCTTTGAATGTGGTCTTGAGCTTAGTATTTATAGGGGGAGTCCTGGAGGGACAATCGAGGCTGAAAATATCTGCGTGGTGGAGTCTGACCGGGGCAAGTAGGTAGTCAAATCGGCATTTGGGATCGTGAAGCATGGTGAAGCATGATGGTGTGACCCCCATAAATCCCGGTAAATCTCGGCCACCGCCTTGATCGTTGGTTCTGCCCTCTTGGCCGTGGGAACGCATTTAATACCCTGGTCTGGTGGTTGGTGATCTGACCTCACGTTGTAAGAATACTTGGGAGAATGTTTGCGTCTAACCACTCTGATTTTCGTCACCAAATCCTGACTACAGTCACTTCCTTCGTGCATTAAATGCTTCTTGCGACTAGTGGGTTTGATGCGATGTTCAGAGGCATTACTTCATTAAATGGGGCGTGGGACCCTGAGGCCATGTGGCGGTTCAATCACAGTCTCTTCGGCCGTGTCTTTTACGGCCTTCGGCTTCGGCCTACAATGCCGCGATCGCGAGGCTGAGAGGATTCTGCCTGCGCAGCTTTTTCCTTTGTTTTTAGGAAGGCAAAATGCCTAACGAAACGTGGCCGTTTCAGTTCATGAGTAGGTGCTAGGGCCGGGAGGAAGTCCCTTCGGTCAGTTCATGACCGTGATTTTATTAGGCACAAACAGAAGTGCTGGGATTTTGGCAGTGGTGACCAACCCTCTGTAGCCTCCTATCGTAGTTGTAAGTATTACTATGTTTTAGCCCTTTTTCTATTATGATTCTGCCTGGAGCTGACTTGTAATCTTTCTCTTTAGATGCCTATCCATTCTTTTCCAGGTTCATCTACCACGGCCTCCTTTGCTGATCCATAATTGGCAGAATTTGAAGCTACGGATTTAGATGCTCAACTGGACAAACTTGAGAAGCTTAGCTCCACTCCTGGCAAGGCCAAGTCCAAGGCTGTGGATGAGGCAATGGAGAGGGTGAAGATCTAGCAGTCCACTAAGTTAGAACTGGATGAAAATAAAGAAGCTGTTGACCAATTGATGAAGGACCTGGACCTACTACATAGACAGAGAATGGCTCCCGAGCCTATACTGGAAATTGCAGAGGATTCAATCCACCAGGGGTACTGCTTCAAAAAGAACTCTCTATCAAGAAGACCAGTTTGCAAGAAACCTTTAGGAAATTAGGGTTTTAATTTTAATTTTCTGAATGTAATAAAACTTAGTCATGGAAAATGACTATATTAATAAAAGGTTCCTTTTTTGATGGAATTTTTGCATTTTCAATTTCTTTTGATAAAATAAAAGAAAGCAGAAAATAAAATATACTTAACAAATTACATCAAGAGCACAACTCTAAACAAAATTTTATACAACATTTCCATGTTGCTTCTCTTCAATTCCAGGATCTGTTTGGATTGCCTGTGAATCCCACATGGTTGGATAAAACTTTTTCAACCATTTGCCACTGATTGGTGCTGCATGGATGTCTCCATCTCGATCCTGTAATCTGTATGCCCCCAATCCAAGGACTGGCTTGATTATGAAAGGATCTTCCCATGTGGGTGACCATTTTTCATAACCAGATATATGTGTTCCCAGGGGTAGAACTACTTTCCAGACTATTTCTCCTTCCTCAAAACTCTTGTTTTTAACTCTCTTGTTGTAGGCCCTAGATACAGCCTGTTTTCCTGCTAAGAGTTTGTTGAGGGTATCAATTCTGCTGGTATCCAAACTTTCTAGTTCTAGCAGCATTGCTTGAGAATAGTCTTCTCCAACCAGATTGTGTTGCTGAGCAATTCCGAGAGATTGGATTGCTATTTCCATAGGCAAAATCGCATCATGACCATAGGTTAGAGCATATGGGGGGTCATGCCAGTTGCATCTCTCTTTGAAGGTCTATATGCCCAGAGAGTTTCTAATAATTTCTCAAGCCACTGCTTTGGATTTTTCTCAAGCATTTTCCTGATAATGTTGATGATCACCTTGTTACATGATTCTGCCCGTCCATTAGCTTGAGCATAATAAGGAGTGGATTGAAGTAGTTTGAATTTGAATGCCTCTGCCATATCTAGCATTTCTCTACATAGATATGAAAGAAGATCCCCTGTCAGTTGTGGTTAACTGTGGAATGCCAAACCTTTGTATAATCTGATGTTCTATGAAGGTGATGATCTTGAGATGTAGTGGACTTAACAGGTTTGGGTTCTACCCACTTGGTGAAATAGTTGTTGGCTGCGCAAATCTCACGGCCTGGTGCTCAGGGCTGAGGGGATGTGCGTTAACACGTGACGTCCTTCTTTTGGATGCGGTGCGGTTGTGCGTGGACATGCTAGCACGGTCTACCGTGCGTCAAGATGGTGATGAGGTTCGGGTAGAAGATAGTCAAATGATGCGCCTGTTTTGAGTTCGACTCCTAATCAAATGATTGTGGCCGAGAGAGGAACTGATCTCGGCCGTCAAGTTCACGGCCTGGGCTACAAGGCCGTTTAGTGGTGGTGTTGGTGGCGGGTTTAGGGCGGTGCTCCGACGCGTTGCTCAGAGTGCGACGATTGTATGATATATGGGGTGAATGAGATGGTAACAGGGATGGTGCTCCGGTGCCTTGAAAATCAAGGGTCGTATGATATATTGATGAATGGATTTTCTTTACAATCTATCACTACTCCTAGGAAAGCAAATAAAGGTATTGAAAGTACATTATAGGAAAAGATAATTTGCTCCGTGGGAGGCTTTTGGTTTGGTGTTTGAACCCTTTGAATGTAGTCTTGAGCTTAGTATTTATAGGAGGAGTCCTGGAGGGACAATTGAGGCTGAAAAGATCTGCGTGGTGGAGCTTGATCGGGGCAAGTGGGTAGTCAAATCGGCATTTGGGATCGTGAAGCATGGTGAAGCATGATGGTGTGACCCCCATAAATCCCGGTAAATCTCGGCCACCGCCTTGATCGTAGGTTCTTCCCCCTTGGCCGTGAGAACGCATTTAATGCCCTGGTCTGGTGGTTGGTGATTTGACCTCAAGTCGTAAGAATACTTGTGAGAATGTTTGCGCCCAACCACTCTGATTGCCATCACCAAATCCTGACTTCAGTCACTTCCCTCATTCCCTCGTGCATTAAATGCTTCTTGCGACTAGTGGGTTTGCTGCAATAGGTAAAGGCATTACTTCATTAAATGGGGCATGGGACCCTGAGGCCACGTGGTGATTTAACCACAATATCTTCAGTCGTATCTCTTACGGCCTTCGGCTTCGGCTTATAATACCGCGGTAGCGAGGCCGAGAGGATTCTGCCTTCGCAGCTATTTTTTTGTTTTCAGGAAGGCAAAATGCCTAACGAAACGTGGCCGTTTCAGTTCATGAGTAGGTGCTAGGGTCGAGAGGAAGTCCATTCGGTCAGTTTATGACCGTGATTTATTAGGCACAAACAATAGTTTGTAGCTATAATGATAAAACAGTGTTGTTTGCTACTGGCTGGATAGATTTTTCCAATGAGATCCATTGCCCATTCTCTGAATGTCCATGGCTTAACTACTAGATTCATGGGAACTGAAGGAGCCTGCTGGATTAGACCATGCCTCTGACAAGCCTACCTTCTAATTAACCAGGACATCTTCCTTCCACCTTGATGAGCTCCATGGATTCCTTCATGGGTTTCTCCCATGACCTTTACATACTCTTTTTTCCCAAAGCACCTCAAAAGTAACTCATCTTTGCTCTTTCAGACCAAATCTCCATTTCACATGAGATAGTTTAAGGCTATGATTCTAATCCTTTTTTTAGAGGGAAGGGTTCGATACTGCAGATAATTGATTATAGGTAGTCTCCTATCTTCTTAAATCATTATGGCAGCATTGACATCTATTTCCATTCCTCTGGTTAGGACAGATGGTAGGCTTTTCTTTCCTACCTTGATGATTCTCTGCACGTAGTCTTCATGCATTTGTACTCCTGTTGTTATTTGGGCCATCTCATTAGCTGCAAGGTTTTCTTCTCTTGGAATATGTTCCCAAGTGGCTTCCCTAAATTCTGACAAGGGATTTCTGGCTGCCACTAGATAGACAACTAGAGAAGTGCTTAAACATTTGTATTCTCCAGCAATCTGTATTAGTACAAGCATGGAATCTCCCAGGATTTCGACAGATTGGATTCCTAGTTCCACCAGCATTTCTAGTCCTATGATTAAAGCCTCGTATTCTGCCTTGTTGTTGGTGCACTGGAAATTTAGCTGGAACGAATAACAACGTTTGATTCCTCGTGGATCTTCTAAAACAATCTCTGCCCCAGAGGCTGAGTCTGTTTTAGATCCATCAAAGTATAGCTTCCAGGGTGTGAGGTGGACTGAATAAATGGGATTATTGAGGCAGCTATGAGCTCTGGTCAATAGATCTGCATTGGCTATGTCCATAGAATCCATATTCTCAATTTCTTCTCCTGGATTATCTGCCAAGAAATCTGCAATAGCTTGTCTTTTGATGGACTTTTGAGGGACATATCTGAAAGCAAATTCTGACAGGGCCAGAATCCATTTACCGATTCTTCCTCTCAACATTGGCCTTGTTAGCATGTACTTGATCAAATTTGTGTTAGCAATGATGTAGGTGGTGAAAGGTAGCATGTAATGCCTGAGTTTTATAGCAGTAAAGTACAAAGCCAAACAAAGTCTTTCAATTGTAGAATATTTCCTTTCTACCTCTATCAGAGTTCTGCTCAGCCAATGGAATGCTTGTTCCTTCCCTTCCTTGTTATCTTGAACTAACAGACGCCCTATGGATACTGTTGATGCAGAAACATATAACTTGAGTGGTCTGCCTCTCTTTGGTGGGGACAACATTGGTGGATTTGAGAGGTAATGTTTGATTTCCTCAAAAGCCTGTTGATGCTGTTCTTCCCACTTAAATGTATGTTCTTGCCTCAATCTCAACAAGGAGGAGAAAGGCTAGATTGTCCCTGCAGAATTGGATATGAATCTTCTTAGAAAGTTAATCTTTCCTAGGAGACTCTGTAATTCTTTTTTGTTTCGAGGTGGCAAAGCTTCCATGATAGACTTTGCTTTTTTCTTGTTGATTTCTATTCCTCTTTGGTGAACCAAGAAACCTAAGAATTTGCCAGCTTAAACTCCAAAAACACATTTCTTGGGATTCATTTTTAACTTGTGTTGTCTTATTCTTAGGAATGCTTTTTTTAGATTTGATACATGATCTCCTTTTTCTGGGGATTTTATCACCACATCATATATATAAACTTCTAGAGAATGACCTATCATGTCATGGAAAACAGAATTCATTGCTATTTGATAAGTGTCTCCTGCATTTCTCAAGCCAAAATGCATTAGAGCATCTCCAGCGCAAAGCCCAGCTCGGGGGGAAGGCTGCCAGAGGGAGCCCGAGGCAGCTCCAGCGCAGGGCCCGTAGCCCGGGTT